TCAGTGAGTAGGAAGCATAATCATGCACACACAAAACAGCTCTCCACGGAGTCCTAGTACCTCTGCCTTTTTACTTTGTAGACCTTTGGCCAGTAATCTAACCTTCCTTGGCAACTCTGGAGAAGAGAAATAATAGAATTCTAATGATTTCCTTAAGCTCCTGGACTCAACCAGCATATCTCTTCATAATGCTTCTTCCACCTCTGAATTTTATTTTCCTTTTTTACTTGTGTTTTTAAGATCCTTACATGGAAGAGGGAAAAACTCAGTGGAATACTTAGTGTTGATCCTTAATTTGTCTATCTAATTCTTCCCTCAACAGTAGGTTTCCTCTCTCCTGTTCCTCCCCATAGGTCCTTCAGGCAAAATCAACAGGCCTATCCAGCTCTCTGCCTATTTCTGTGGGTGGCCCAAAGCCCTTCCTCCAAATCTAGATGCAAAGCCTCATGTGGTTTCAACTCCAGCTTCCTCAGCCCCAAGCTGGTTAGTGATACTGCTCTGTAGTGCTCTGTCGTGCCCTGCTCCTCTGTCCTGTGCCTTCCCTCCACAGTATTTGCTACCTCTTGTTCACCGGAATAGCTTCTGAAACCAGTTTTTTTCAAATTTCTACGTGTCCCATGGACTATAACTCTGTTCCGTTCCTTCTACTACACATAACTGCTCAGTGCCTCCCTGCTGGATACGGAGCACGTTAGAGGCTCCTCCTCAGGGCATTCAGAATTCTCCGGTCTTGCTCCAAAGGGGAATGAATGCTCTCTTCAAGCCAAAAGTGAACTACACGCCATCGCCTGCACCTTCCATGAGCCTCTGTCCACATCTGCTTCTTCCATCTGAGACATCTCACGTCCTTCCAGTTGGTGTTCACTGGCTCTTGGTCCAAATGTACAGATTGTCCTTCCTTGGGAAGAATTTTGCTTGATTAATGGTAATTAATAAGTGGGTGTTTCATGTGTCTGCCTGAAGCAATATAACCGGAATTTTTACTCGTAACCTTTCTACCTAAGTAATACTGCTGTTTATTTTGTTTTTCTTTAAGATTTTGTTTATTTGACAGACAGAGATCACAAGTAAGCAGAGAGGCAGGCAGAGAGAGAGAGAGGGGAGGAAGCAGGCTCCCTGCTGAGCAGAGAGCCCCATGCGGGACTCGATTCCAGGACCCTGAGATCATGACCTGAGCCGAAGGCAGAGGCTTAACCCATTGGGCCACCCAGGCGCCTGTGATACTGCTGTTCAAAACATTACTGGAAGTTAAGAATGAAGGGAAAGCTATTTTCCTTACTTTTTCCTTGAAAGTGAGAAAAGTTACTTGTGAAGCTGAATCAGTTTTTGGTATGGACTATCCAGGGCAAGCTGTGCATCTACACCAAGGGTGTGGCTGAGGACTTGATAATACAACTAGACTGACTAAATCTTGATTTTCTTTTTAAACAAGGAACTAATGGGGGTGAGCAAATGACCCTAATTCAGATACACCCCTCCTATGACAACATTTTTACCTGCCAAAATCCTATCCCTTTTTAAAGTTTCTTTCCCCCCCCCCCCAAGACACCATGCTCTCTTTATCAAGAAACTTTTCTTGATACCCAACAGAAGGACTCCATTTGGGGGGATTCCTGTAGCCTCTATTGCATCCACACATTTTTATCCCTGTCACACCCCAGGGGCTATGCCAGGTGCTGGGGTTGTCAAAATGCATAGAGATGATCTGTGATTGCAGGGCTTCTGCTGTCCGACAGAGGAGGGAAACTGTTCTGCTACACACCGTAATACAGGTTCTTCATTAGACTCTTCTCCCTTGTTTAAAATACACGTGCAGGGCCACAGAAGAGGAAAAGAGCGAGGATTTAAAAATCCAAAGGTCAAGGGGTTCCTTCCAGGGCAGGAAGGTTCTCCCCTGGGCTTTGGGGGAGGAGGTATAGGAAAGGAGGAAGCTATGGTTATGTTGCCCCAAGAAGCTGGAGCACAGGGTAGCTGGGAGAAGTGCAAGTGGTAGGGGATGAGATTGGAAGTATAGCTTGGGACCAGAAAAGAATGGGCTTAAACATCAGGCCAACGCATTTGGACTTTACCTGCTATTTAAAGGAAAGACATAAGAGGTATTGTAAATATCAAAGTAAAATGTTGAGACCCGTGGATTAGAAAAATAATATTGTTAGTACAACAAATGGTAGATTGGTGGGAAAGATGGAAACTGGAGACGCAGATGAGGTCGACTTTCTAAATGGACCCAAAGGTACCTTGTATTTCTTGTAAGACATTTGGGGCATTATTTTCTATCATTACAACTCTTTGTGCATATACCTTGACTATTAATAATGCTTCCTGACATTGGGCTTCGAGCAGGGTTTTGTGAAGGACCAAATGGGTTTAACAGCAATGACTCTTATCTGAAACACTCATGAATTCTGGAAAGTTTCATTTATAACACAAACTACTCCATAGTCTGCTTTCTCTAATTCTTTCCAGGTGTTAAAGGAGATAGGGCATTAGCAAGCATTAAAACACATTGACCATGTGTATATTTAAAAATCATAATGGTCATCGTTCGTTGGTACCATTTTGACTTCATACCATGCTGTAGGTGCTATGCCATGCACACATATTACCTCATTTAATATTTTCAGCACATGATATTAGACCCATTTTATGGATATGCTGAGGCTCGGGCACTTGAACTTGCCAGGATCACATAATGAGTGACAGTCATCCTGGTCTTTTTCTGTACCTTGAGCTTGTTCCCTCAACAGACAAAGAAACTTCCTTTTGCAGTTACCTCTCCCTGGAAAGTTCTTCTCCCAGACATTTACAGAACTGACCTCTTCAGCTCTTAGCTTAAATGTTGCCTCCTCAAAGAAGCCTTCATCAACCATCCTATCTAATGCTGCTCATTTCTCTACTTCCTTCACAGCATTTTGTTACCTGAAATCATTTACTTGTTTCTTTCCTGTCCCCTCAGCTTGAGTCTAAATTTCATGAGATCAACTGTTTCGAACCTCTCACACAAGTTTGATTTATATAATCACAGCATTTTAGAACAGTTTCTAGAACTTAATACACATTCAGCAAATATTTAGTCAAGGGCTGGGTGAATGAATAAATAAATGTCCCCAGAGCCCACACTTGTTCTCCAGTCCCATCCTCTAGATGTTTCCTTGCAACTGCCTAGCACACTGGAGAAGAAATGGCTGACCATACAACCTGTCAAACTATGTATCTGGGACCCAGACTGATTAGCTTTTAAAAAACCAAATATTTACTCACCAAAAACACAACCCACAGGTCACTCTCTTTCTCATCAGTTAAGATCACTTGGTTATATCCAAACTTGCAGCTCATATAGAGTATCTACAACGTAGGGTTAGTTCAGAAGACAACTTGTCTGAGTAACTGTTTGTAGAGCTTTACCTTTTCTTACTGCATTCTTCTTGGCAAATTTTTGTAGGAGAATATTGGAATTCACAGAAATGAGGCATTGTTCCTGGCAATTTTTTTTTTTTTACAGCACCAGCCATGTAGAAATTCATGATCTTTCTAATAAATTTGTGAATTCTTATGATCTCCACACACAAAATAACCATCCTCAGAGGGCAAATTCTCTCATTCTTCCCTCAAACTACATTTTTCTTTTATGATTTCAGATTGGGCTTTTTAGAAGTGTGATTTTTCCTTTGTCTTAGTGCCATCTGAGCCGACTTTGTCACTAGCGCGTTAACCTCTTCTTTCCCACTCTCCCATATCTGAGAATAGCTTGCTAAATTAACCCTAAGTTAGGGTGGCCTGCGGAGGAATTTTAAGTACATTTCTCGGTGTTCTGTGAAGTTACGTGATCTTAGCTCAGCTAATTAACTTTGTTAAAATTGTATGAGGGGCTTTGTATGATTCAGCTACAGAAGGCACAAAACAATTTGAAAAGAACCTGCCCTTTACCTTGATCCCTACCTTCTCCAAAAACCATGGTGTAATGCCAATGAACAGAATAATGGTTGACAAGCAAAATTTTAAGACATTCTAAATATCACTGGTTGGTTTAATAAAATTAATTAGCCTGCCACGGAGAAAATTTACTAGCGTGCTGGTTAATTTCACAATGTAAAGTCAGAGAAGGGAGGTAGGGTTGAGAGAACAAACCTTATTAGTTTTGAATAATTATTTAAAGATGTGGAGCTGCCTATTTCAAACACTTTGATTGCCAAATCCATTAAGGCTTTACAATCTCAATGTTTGTATCCCAGTATATATGGGAAGGAATCTCCCTAGGTGAAATCATAATCATATTAATGAACAGCTAAATGACCTAAAGATACAGAACAACAAGTAGGATCCTAATAAAACCATGAGCATGAGAACTTGCCTTAAGACTATCTCATGGGAGGTTTCCATAATCTTAATTTGCCATTGATGCAATTATTGCTTTTTCTTGTCTTTTTAATCCAAACAAGATGTTTGCAGTGGCCATGGAAAGGTGCCTAAAATCACATGCCTGAATTCATTTAATTTGCCAACGTTGTCTTTTTTCTCTCTTCCTGGTAATGGGCAAGAGTCAGTTCTGGTGCATTAGGTACTAAATCTCCTCAATTACCAGCCGGGAAGAAAGATTTAAAATTGTGCTTCAAACCTACAAACTGATTTAGTTTTAAAGCACAAACCCTTCTCCTGTGGAGCCTAAATTGAACTGCAGAGAGGATCCAGAAGTTGAGGAATTAAACCAGGCACGGCCAAGGCTCAGGCCAGTGATAGGAACCGTTTTGGTTTCTTTCATCAGATCCCCCCTGGTGCAAAAGGAAAGAAAGAGAGAGAGAGAGGAAGAAAGAAAGGGAGAAAGAAAGAAAGGGAGGGAGGGAGGAAGGGAGAAAGGAAAGAAAAACACAACTTATATAAGGAAGTGCAGTGTTCTACTGCCTGGAAGCTAGACGTGGAGTGTGGCTAGCTCATTAGTGTGGGGGAGTCTGAACAAACCTCTTCTCTTTTTTTTTCCCTCTCTCTTTTTGGGTCTTTGGCAGCCATTTTCAATGTGGATGACTCTGTGGTTGATCTGGAGACCTTGGCAGCTTTATATGAAAATGTGAGTATCAAAGACATACAGAGGCAAGAGTTTTCAGATTTTCATATCTTCACTAATTAAAAAAAATGTTAAGGTCTAAAAAATGGTTATATGTGACTCCTTCTGCCCTCCCACCCTCCCCCCTCCCCAGATCACTAAGCCATCCATGCTCTTTGGCCGTGAGGATTTTGACATAGCACGGGAGAGATTCAGGCATAGTTTCTATAAATGTACACTCAAACAAGAACAGACGTGAGCAAAGCACTGGGTTCCAACCCCCTGTGGTATCTGGGTTAGCAGCCCTCTTTGCCTGCCTGCGTGGGGGGGTGGTTCAAGGTGGAGACCCCTTCTAGGCTGTGGAGTCCAGCCCTGTGCTTACGGTCAGAGTGAGTGAAGCTAAGCTACCGGCTTACTGTTGGGGCACACCACTGTCTTCCTCTGAGGAGTGGGAATACTAATACCACCTTGGATGATTCCTTTTGGATCAGATGAGCTAATGACAATGAATGTGGGAAGTAGTATAAGATGGTGGGTGTATGCTTTGCGTTTAGAGTCAGGCAATTTTAGATTTGAGGTTCCACTCTATTATTGACTCTGAGTGACTTTGGAACCAATTAAATTCCTTCAGCCTGTTTGATCATCAGTACAGTGGGGTTTATAAAGGGCTCTATCTGATTTTTGTATTAAAACAGAATTTGATATAGGTAACAATAACAATATATTTGAAAATACACAGCACTGGACACATAATGTGCTCTTTAAATTTAGGTTATATGTGGAATAACCAGCAGAATTGGGAGGCTCTCTTGAGAGGAACACACAGGAGAGTTAGAATTCCCATGGTTGTTAACATTTCTGATTCATTGACTCTGCTAGAATTTGAAAACCGTGAACCAGATTCTCTTTATTGAAGTTATGGTATTTCCCCGGGAAGCTGCCTGGAGCTCTATAGTATTTTCCAGTCACCAAGTTTAAAAAAAAAAAAAAAAAGATTCATTTCAATTCTATGTCTCCTGGGACCTTATGTCCCTTATAGAAAATTCCCAGAGTACAATGATCCAACCTCATGCGATTGCCAGTTCCCTAAACATTTTCACATCTTTTATATCTATCAGGAGCTGTTTAGTACAACTGGGTGGGAACTTCTCACGTCCCATCAGCAGGGCTTTTGTTAATAGGAAGGTGAAACAAATACCAGGCCACTAGGAGCTAATAGTGCATTTGTGGTGTACCTGGGGGGCAGCGTGGTGTTATGGGGGAAAGAGAAACACTGAGTCAGGCCCTTTATCCAGTACATGGTCTGAGCCTTGGTAGAATCATCTGAAAAACAAAGATACAGTAATTGACATTGAAGGACTCTGTAAAAGGCAGAGTGCCTTCTAGATGCTTCTTGCTGCTGCCGTGAGCTCAGGACTGGGCACGTGGGCAGTACTCGTTAGCTCACAGCAGAGGAGAGCTGCCTGCAGTGGCCATCGCTGGGTAAATTGAGAAAATAACGTAACTAAATGCCAAAAGGAGCAGCGGAGATGAGTGTTAACAAAATTCAGAGAAAGAGAAGGTGGAGACTAGAAACGAAAAAGTCAGGAGCATACGTAAGTTGGGAGGGCTGTTCTAAGGGTCAGGAAACAAATGCTGAGGACAACTGACTGCTAACCTGCTTACAGGGGAAGAGATAGGGGATTCGGCAGCAATCCAGCATTCTGGCTTCCAGGACACCCTGCGGTCTCCTGGTATGGCCGTTGGCTTTGACCAGTGATTCTCCGGTGGTAGCATGCGTCAGAATCCCCTGGGGGGCTTGCTGCTCCTCCCCACCCACCCCCCAGCTTCTTAGGACCGGGAGAGAGCCAATCATTTGCATTTCTAACTAGAAGCAGGTGGGTGATGCCAATGCTGCTGGTCCAGAGACCACACTTGGAGTACGTGGCTTTAGACTGATTCTCATTGTTCGTTTTTTCTGTGCTTTGTTTGATTCCTGCTTCAACCCAGCGAGCCCAAGAGGATGAACTGGTTAAAATAAGGAAGTACTACGAGACATCCAAAGAAGAAGAACTGAAGCTGCTGGACAAGCCTGAGCAGTAAGGACGCTTGAACTCTTTGCTGTTAAGCCTAAAGGACAAGTGCGATCCCTGTCCCCCTGCCTCCCCGCTCAGAGTAATTGCACCTAAACCGTGCAGTGAGCAGAGTCTTAGGGCCATCATCCCCATGACCCACTGCATGCAGCGGAATGACCTGACTGCCAGGAAACGCAGCCAGGGGATTTGTGCTGCTGGATCTAAGATGTCTCAACCCCTCTCCCCACCCCTCATGGTTCCCCTTTCTTGTTCTAGCAGCTTGTTAATTCCTCCTAGACTAAACATTCTGGCCAAAAGGGTAGCTGAGGAAGGAAGAAGGCATTGCTCTGTTTAAGGTTCTGCAGATACAGTTAAAAAAAGATGATGGCAGACTCACAGAATTCAAATTGATTTTCCTAAATGTTGTATCCAGTAAACACAGCCTGAACGTGCCAGCTTTCCCTCAGATCCCTCCACCTGCTCTGCCCAATGGACAGGTGACCTTCTCCTACTCTTGGCATCTGCTCGTTTTTCTCTCTATTCACCATCTAGAGTTGTTTCTCTCCAGTTTGGGCTGTTAAGCCATGGCCTTTGAAAGCCTAGACCTCTGATGAGGAATGGAGTGGCTCCTGCTTTGGCTGGGCTCTTCGGGTCTGCACACCACAGATAAGTGTATGGGGCTCTGAGTTCCTGGACACCACCTACCTTTTCATGGCCCAGGATTGAGGCTGTAGAATGGGTCCAGAGTGGACAGAGGGATCCTTTGCCTGTCACCCCCTTGAGTGCTTCATTCGTGTCCAATTCAGGCTATTCCCCTCAGCCTGGAGATGAGGCAGGGGATAGAAAACACAGCAAAAACTAAGCAATAATGTTTAGGGCAACAAGTGAGCCCTAGAGACATCTAAGTTTCTGTGGCTCATATCAACACTTTCATGGCTTGCCCTTGGGTCCACGAGAATGCCCCACAGCCCTTGGAGTGCCTGGAGAAAATGACTAGGTGGGGGATTTCTAGGTTTACTCAGTTACTGGCAAGCCTCCGGGATCATTTTGGGACCCTTTGATGAATTGTTCTCACACGGAAGAGAGGCCAGGAACCACTCTCTACCCCACCCCCACCCTGCCTCAAGTTAGTTCATGAAGCCTAAAAATACTGTGAATCAGCACAAAGGGGGTTCTGCTGCCGTTCTGGCCCATCACTTTGAGCTACCCTCCCTACCAATTCCTGCCCCTGACCAATCCTGGTCATGTTTCCTAATAATAAATAATAAATAATAAATAATAAATTAATTCCCACTAAGGAGCTAATGACAGAACGTGAAGTGACTCATAATGGGATACTTAGACACTGACAAGGCCATCAGGAGTATTTGAAGACTGTCTTAGTCAGCTTGGGTTGCTGTAACAAAGTACCCTAAGCTGGGTGACTTAGAAACAACAGAAATTTATTTCTCGTAGTTCTGGAGCTCGGAAGTCTGAGATTGGGGTGCCATTCCGGTTGGGTTTTTGTAAGAACCCTCTTCTAGACAGACTGCCAACTTCTCTCAGTGTCCTCCCATGCCAGAAAGCAAAGAGAAGGAAGCAAGGTCTGGTGTCTCTTCTCCTAAGGGTACTAATTTCACCCATGAGGACTCAACGCTCATGACTTAAGTGCCTCCCAAAGGCCCTGCCTCCTTAAACCATCACATTGAGGGTTAGGATATCAACATATAAATTTGGGGGGAACATAAACACTCAGTCCTTAACAGGGCCAATAGGACATATCAAGCATTTGGGCAGCGCCAACTGTGTCACACTAAGCAGTGATCTCTCAGCCTAGAGTTCACATACTTTTCACGTAAAGCATCATAGAGTATTTTAGGCTTTGTTGGAAGTACTTAAACCATAGACAATATGCAAACAAATGGGCATGACTCTATCAGTAGAATTTTATTTAGGGACACTGAAATTTGAATGTTATATTATTTGTGTAGAAGTCAAAAAAATGTTATCTTTATCTTGATTCTTTTTCATCCAATTTAAAAATATAAAAGCCATTCTTAGTTGGTGGGCCATACAAAAACAAGTGATGTACTGAATTTGGCCTGTGGGCTATACTTTGCCAACTCCTGCTCCATGCTCTGGGAGGAGCTGACCCAGTGAAGAGTGGGTTTCTGCTATGGGAAGGGTTCCCCTTTTCCTTTCCTTTTCCTCCCCTTCCTAATGTCTTTCTAGCATTATTTTTGGAGATTAATTGCCAGGACACAGAATAGCAGTGGCAGGTAATTAACAGATAAATTTACGAATCCTGCTTTCTCTGCCGATGATCTGGATAAGAGAGCATCTTCCAAGTTTGTACATGGTTATGGCAGCAGTTCCCAAAGATGCTAAGCCATCACTGACAGCTGAGAGGACTGTTGTGTTGTCCTGGTGAGGTGATGTGCTCAGGCTCAGTTGCACAGAGGTTGGGGCTTCAAGCCCGAGTGAATTTCACCCTCGCTCTTGACCTCCTGCATCGGGCGGCATTTGTTTGATGTTAGCCAGAGTCCAATTTCCTGGCAACTTGCTTGCCATCAGCTCCAAGTTAGTTGACTATAAGCATGTTTTACATACTGGAAAATATGAATCATTTATAGTTTCAACATTGCGATTGCCTAAGATCCCTGTGATGCCCGGTCCTATAAATCATAGCATGGAGAGGGTGGTCTCCTCACTCACCTCATCGGCTTTCTTGCAGCCCAGTGCCAGACTGAGAATGCCATTTCCCATAGAGGGGTCACCTGCCGGGGCCCGAGCTGTCTGAGAGCCACCCCTTCCAAGGATGGCCCTCAACTCTTTGCATTCTGCCTTGGGATGGTGGTGAGGGGAGGGGAGGGGAGGGGAGACGCTATCGGGTTTGATTAGGCCAAACACCTGTTTTCTGTGGCCTGGAGGGAGGACACCAGGTACGGCCTACTGCGATGCTCTGCTAGGGTCCCCAGTTACCTCACAAAGCAAACAGGAAGCGACTTGGTGTACTGTTACCATACTCCTTGTGGGAGAACAGAATACATGACGCTGGGTGCCCAGCCCTTGTTCACACACACCGGAGATGGTACCATGTGGGGGTCTAGGGGATGATAACCTAAATGTGAGTCCCTTAAAACAATGGGCCATGTTGCCTCATTCCACCTGTCAGCTGAGTCAGCACCGCGGATGGGGAACCCACGCAATGTCCTGGGCCGAGCCTCTCTCCTAAAGACAGACTGGTGTGGCAGCCCTTCCTAGGAAAGTAAGCCTACACTGGGAAAGAATGGGAAGATCCAATCTGTGGCTTCTTTGAGCTTGTTTGGTCCTCTTTGTAATTGGCCCTAGAATATCAAGTTAGACCAGTCCAAAAGGAAATCAACCTTTACGTATTCCTAAGTACCAAGGCCCCATGTCCAAGACCCATACTTGGGGCTTTGTAATAGAGTTCTTATCCCTGCCCTTATGGGGAGAGTAGAAATCGCAGCTGGGGGAATCAGATACTTACCAGACACTCCCAGCCTTTGGGGCTCCTTTATACTTTAGGTACTCTTCTGGATAAACAGGAAAGGAGCTATGGTGCCTTCCCTCAAGCCTTTGCCTGGCTGTTTTGGGATGGATAGTAACAAAAAATCATAGTTTTTCTAAATGTGTGTCTCCAGTAAATCTTATCTTCACATCCTACCAGATGTCTAAGCCCAAAACCCACAAATCTTCCTGGACAGTTCTCAGCATTCCTCGGGGTCGGTCAGTTACTCTGGTTCATGCCGCCGGAATAGCTCTCTCGTTCCCTGGCCCTTCTGCACTCACCCCTGGCCTGCCCTCTTAGAACACCGCAGCTGCGGTCTAGATGGTCTTCCAGCCTCAACTCCGCTGCCCCTCCCACTAACCAGCCAAGCCACTGCCGTGGTGCTTTTTAAAACTAAAGGCCCAAAGTATCACTTACTTCTCTGTTCAGAACCCTTCGGTTGAAACTCTTGATTTTAGAACACAAAGCCCCCATTTGAGCACCTGAGTTCTAGTTGTCTTCCCCCACAAACACCATTCATCCCATCTGGGCTCCCCACAACGGTCACTCCCGTGTGTCCTGCACCAGCCCCGGAGGGCTCCAGGGAACCTTGGCTGACATGGTCCATCCTGGGCTCTGACTTGGAAGCCCTGCAGGTGGCTTTCATAGGCCCCATCAGTGATGATCCTTACCACACTCTGTGGTAATCTGTGATTTATTTTTCAGGATATCAAGAAGGAATGGTGTGTAAGTTAAATTCTGTTCTCGAGTCTTAGCATGGTGCCTGACACACCACAGAAGCTTAATGCATGTCTACAGGACTGACTAACATTCTTGGGGACTGACTGTCTGGTATGAATTTCCGGTGACACGTTCCCTACAGCTTTATCCAAAAGTAGTGTAAAATTCTGGAACTTGCCTTCCTCCTCTAACTCTGGATATGCGTTTCAGACCCTTCTTCCTGCACAGAACTCTGGATCTTTAAGGGTCTTTGAGAAACCTCTTAGTCCAATTCCTAATCCCAGTAAAGCTTGATCCTGGAGAACCGTGTGGTTCTTTTTGACTCTTTCCTGGGTACCATTAAGTCAGTGAGCCCATGGCCACGTCTTCTTATATGGGCCCTACACCTCCTTTTCTTGAGACTAGTTTTAAGTCATCGTTCATCCAGCATTTCATCTTTTTCGCCTGTGTCCTTGCTGGTGAACTGAGGCGTCCATCTGCATCATCTCTCACACTGTGGTCTCCATAAACGCTTCACTCACTGTGTTTATTTAAACTACAAAGTGCACATACTCCACGGATCTTGGTCCTACTTGGGGAAGAGTGTCTGGCAGTCACTGTTGGAAGAGGAGAAAGGCAGGTCATGACCCCTGAGGTAGCTCTTAGCATTATCTGAATAAGTACAGCTTCCCACCACACCCCTCAGAACCCAGTGCCGCCAGTCCCACAAGATTGCACTACTTACATTTATGAAACCCGGTGATACCCCTGATTTTTTTTTAAAGATTTTATTTATTTATTTGACAGAGATCACAAGTAGGCAGAGAGGCAGGCAGAGAGAGAGGAGGAAGCATGCTCCCCACTGAGCAGAGAGCCCAATGTGGGGCTTGATCCCAGGACCCTGGGATCATGACCTGAGCCAAAGGCAGAGGCTTTAACCCACTGAGCCACTCAGGCACCCCATATACCCCTGATTTTGATCATAAACGAATCTTTTAATACTAATCTGTAAGAAGCAATTTACATATAAGGTATAATTTTTAATCCTGTCCTTACTCATAACTCCTGTGGGTTTTCATATTTTTATCCCATCACATGGTTTTCATAATAATCAGAGTTACAGAACTTTGAAGCAAGCTTTTATGGGCGTTCCTTGCTTTACCTTAGTGTCATGAAAAATAAAAGAATGAAGAAGAAGAAGAAGAAGAATGGGGCACCTGGCTGGCTCAGTCAGTAGAGCAGGTGATTGTTGATCTCAGGTTCTTAAGTTCAAGCACCATATTGGACACAGTGCTTAATTTTTAAAAAGGTGGCATTGGGGGTTTGTGGACAGGAAAGAAAAGAAAAAAGATTATGACCTGGATCCTGGATGTAAGATACGTTTTTTTTAAACAGCTGGTAATTAGAATCTTACTAAAACCCAAGTCTCCCTAAAAAAAAAAAAGCAAAGTAAAAGAGGCACAGAGTATAAGCTAAGGAAATTCTTTGGGTATGGAAAGAAGAAGGTTCGGCTTTGCTCCTATGGAAAACATTCTTGGTGAGAGATTGCAAAGTGTCAAAGTAATGACATTATGCGTTGACCAAGACTTTCAGAAATATCAGGTAATCATCATTTCAGCCCCAGAATGAATTTAATAGCTGTTAGTGGATTCTCTCCTTCCCTGAATTCATGCCCAACTCTTTCCACCGTTTTAGTGTGTTTTAGTTTATGCCCCCTCTTCTGGAGGTTGGCCTGGAGAGCATGTAGCTCTTCCAACTTAATTTTGCAAAGGGCACCAGTGCCCAAGTGCTCAGACAGTGAGCTTCTGTGTGTAGATTAGTACTCACCTTTAGCTTTAAAAAATCTGTCTTACCATAGTTTTTAAGATTGATGTCCACTTCATGAGTACCTGCTTTGTTCCACATACCAAGCTGTGAACTCTGTTTTCCTAGGTAAGCTGATGTGGGAAAGTAAACAAATTATCTGTAGAATAGTGCCTCTGTAGACCATTATCTAATCCAGTGTGCAAGAAATAGTTGCCATCTCATTTCAGGTAGAGACATTTTGTCATTTTTCTACAGACGTTTGCCTCCAGCCTTCACTTGACTCTGCCTGTGCAAAATAGACCCTTAGAGAATGCTGCATAATAAAAGGCGTTCATTATGTGTTTTCATACGCTAAAAGTAATGCTTTTTATTTGGGTTTAATCTCCTATTTGCACAGCAGGAGATAACTCCTCCTGGTTCCATATAACTGCACTTCCTGCTCCTAAAGTAATTTATACACCATACATTTATACACCATCCTAGAAACCGATCTGAAAAATGGCTTCTCTGTCAATAATAGAACACATACCCTTGGAGTTCCTCAAGTGTGCCTCTTGGATACATTTTATAATTGTTAAGTTGATATTGTAAAATAAGGTATCTTTTTCAGCTATGGTGGATGTTTTTCAGCTTTTTTTTTTCTTTGTGGTTGTATAAGCAGCTAGATGATTCATTGTTCATTTCTGCAGATTTTTACATGAGTTAGCCCAGATCCCAAATTTTGCTGAACGGGCCCAGTGCATAATCTTCAGATCTGTCTTTTCGGAGAGTATCACCTCCTTGCACCGAAAGGTAGAGATCGTCACAAGAGCTTCTAAGGTATGTTTGCTGTCTAGTTTAAGAGGCTAGTTGTACCCTTACTGAGGGTAAAGGGGGAAGTAGGGAGTGGGAGGATCAACTAGAGTCCCTTTGTAGAAAACCTTTGGACTTAAGATCGTGTTTTTTTAAATATAGCTGTGGTGATTATCGTTAAGTGTGAGTATGTGTGTGAGTACAGGTGAATGAGTGGGGAAGAGAGAGAGAAAGTCAGATGCAGACTGATGGGGAGAAGGAGGAAAAAATGATACTTCTATAGATGTCTTCTTAGATATTCCAGACACTTTCTATGGTACATACTGGCCACTTAACACCAACCCAGCTAGTGTAGTTTGTCTGCTGCTCGACCAGCTGGGTTGCAAGAGATGTTGCATTAGACCCATGCACCTGATCATCTGAAAGGTGTCTACAGAGTGAAATAAAGATTCTAGAGACTTGATAAGTGAAACAAATGATTACGATAATGGGTGGCAGGCAAGTACATTTTTGTTGGCTTTACCACACTGGTATTCCTTGCAAATTCTAATACTTTTTTTTTTTCTCACAGTAACCCATGTCCTTAAGAACATGATGATCCTCTCTACGTACTGTAGTATTTAATTCTTACCTGAAAGCATGATTCTTTTCCTTCCAAAATATAAAAGATTTCAATAAAGAAAGTATAAATACTTCCCAGGTATAATGTACACCCTCTAATAACACCCTAAAAGGTCTGAAGAGAGGTTGGCCTAGAGCTGCATTTGCCTTTTCTTCTTTACTCTAAAATAAAAGAAAATAAAGTCAACTAAGACTCTAGAGAAGGAGGGGGGAGGGAAGTATCAATTTTAAAAATTTGCACTTTGAGAGAAAAAACAGGAAAGTAAATGGGACAAGGAGGTGAAGAAAACCCTAAGCAGATTTAAATTGTCAAAAGTAGTAGACATATCAACAAATACTTAATAAACATAACCTATGGCCTTGAAATACATTATCATAGTTCACCTCTGAGGAGTATACCCAAGGATAAAGAAAATAAACTTGCTTTTAAACCTATCCTACATTTAACTGTGCTGTTTATATAGATACATTGTCCAAAAACATGTCCTCAAATGATATTAAACTAACCCTTTCTGCTTAGAAGTCACCAGATGTAAAGTCTGACTATAGCAACTCTTTCTGAAATACACAAATATTTTAAAATAAATATTTGGAAAATGAAACTGGCTGAAGTAAAAATACAAATACTCATATTTAATCCACAATATTAAGACAGGCACAGTTCATAATTCATTGAAAGGCTAGAAAACGATGACTGATTAATGTATTTTTTTCAGACTCTTATATGTCTTAATAAGGTGTATTTTCCATTTCACCAGCTGCCAAGGCAGTTGGCACCATACCAGCAAACAGCCTGATGGGTGCTCAGTAAATATTTGTTGTTGAATGAACATAGGCGCCTTTGAAGTTCAACTCCCTAATCATTGGTGTTTGCCATCACAGGGCTTGCTGCACATGAAGAGTGTGAAGGATATTTTAGCTCTCATTCTGGCTTTTGGAAATTATATGAATGGAGGAAATAGGACTCGGGGACAAGCAGATGGATATAGCTTAGAAATTCTACCCAAACTCAAGGACGTCAAAAGTCGGGTATTTATTTTTTGTAACTAGATTCCATCAGTTGCCATTATGTTCCTTCTCTACCTGTAATTAAAAAAAAAAAAAAAAAATTCTTGTTTGCTCCATTCATCTCCTTTCTCCCTCTAACAATACATGTTTTTCTTTGCTTTCTTTTGACTCTTGAATAAAGAGAGGTTTTTCATGTTTGATCTTACTGAGATGACAAAATCCCCAATATTGGTTTGCCCTAAGAGAACACAATTGCATGTTGAACTGTAATGAGGGAAGAAAACAGATAGCACAGCAGTAGCAGTCAGAGCACAAGTCTTGAATCTGTTTGAATTTAGGGTTGGCTACTTGTAATTTACTCATTCTTGAGTCAGGAGCAATGTTGAATCACCAGTAGAGCTGAGCATTTGAATTATTCTTTTGCCCACAACAATTGGGCTGGGGGTCTACTGTCAAACTCTCTGAGCCTGATTATCATTTGGCTCCACACCCCTGCAGAGCTCCCTCTTTAGAAACAACCAGCCCATATCTAGGAGTCCCAGGGGGAGCAGGGGGAGTGAAGGGAGGGGAAACACACAGGCAAATTAGAATTAGACCCATGTGAACAAGACACAAAGGCTGCCTTGTGGGAGGGTCTGCTTGCCCCTGGCCTCCTAGGGTCATAAAGTGGCATGGCGTTCCTTTTAAGCTGTCCTGATTGTTTTTCACGCCATTAAGAACACACGTTTTTTTGAAAAGTGGGAAGGGAGGGATGGTTTTCTGTTCTAGTCCCTGGTTCCCTTTGGCACTCCCCCACTCCCTCCTGTCTTGGCTTCCTGCCAGAAAATAATGAGACAGTGTGTGTATTTGTTTGTTTGTTTTAGCCATTATCTCAGAGGTCTTGTGGATTATCTGTTTGGGTTTTTTCCCCCACAAAGAATTGTGGAGTGTCATTTCTTTGTATAGATACCATTAAAAAAAAGAAAGAAAGAAAGAAAATGATGGGACAAAGAGGAGAAAGGAAAAACTTGCCAGTCACAAACAGAAATCAGGACCGGGTATCACAGATTAAAAGTATTAGGGTCACAAACTGAGATTTCGGTACTCAACTATATAATATGGCCGTCTCATGTGAATGATTTTCATTTAAGCTTCTCTTTAAACCTAGGATAATGGGATTAATCTGGTGGACTATGTCGTGAAATATTACCTGCGTTACTATGATCAGGTAAGAAATGGCATTCTGTGGAAAACTACACTAATGGGATTTCAACTCTTACACATTGTTGGCATTCAGAAATTGGATGATGGATGGATGGATGGATTTCAAGTCCAACACAGAATCTGAGAGCTCTCCGGCCTCCTTGGTTTACAGATGGGAACGCTGAAGCCAAGAAAGTTTAGTTGACTTTTGGAAAGAGAAGCATTATTCATTGCCTCTCAGTCTGCTGCCTCCTAATCCGCTATATAATGCAGTTTTAGAGAGACCCCCGGTGATCTGGGCCTTCCGGCCAGTTCGTGAAGGTCTCCGTGTAATCTATATCCATTCGGTAATTGTTTCTATCTGAAACTAGTTCTGGGCTCCAGACCAAAATTGAGGAATTTAAGAGGCAGTAATGCCCCATACCTTATCAGTCGTGGTCATCTGTGAACAAGTTGAAGAAGTGGGATTTGAAATCCGTCCTCTCTGCTTCCATTACACGAGCCATGAGAAATAAAAATTTCAGTGGGAATCCACCTGAGCACAATTTTCTAAGTTCTGTTCCTTCTCATTAAATTGAGAACAAGGAGTCCTAACTTTGCGAAGAAAGAGGTACTATGGTAAGGTGTTGGGAAACCTAGCAGTCAACACGAAGGGGGAAGGTCTCAGGAAACTGTTGTCGACACTCCTGCTTAGCTATCCACGCAAGCAGGGTTTTTCCTAGGTACCAAGGGAAGAAAAGTAAAGGTTCCAGCGCCGTGTTTTCCAAAGGCCTATAACTCCCCCCGGAAGACAAGTGAAACACTGATGAAGTCTACCACCTTGCCTCCTCCCCTCCTCATCGAACCCTTCTCAGTGCACCTGCAATGAATCATCTCCCACCCCCCTTCCTCAAACTTCTCCTGTTTCTGCCAAGGACATTATCATTTCGGTCATTCAGGCATGAAGCTCGTGCTCCTCTCTGGTTCGTCTCTGTCCTTCAACTAAATTGTTTCTCGTGTTTCTTTCCTGGTTTTCATCCCTGTGCCTCCACTTACCAGGCCTTAAGGTAACTCACCTAGAGTATTCCTGTTGCTTCCCAGCTGGTGTCCCCACCCCTCATCCATCACTCCCCCATCAGTCCATCCTACACCTGAGGGATGTGGGAGGCCCCACCAGTTTTTAGAGTTGTGGTCGTATTGTATCACTTTTTTAATACAAAAATAGAAATGGCTCCCCCATTTTCAAAAAGTGAATTAAGACTCTACCCAATTGAATTCCAGTCTTTTACAACCATGCTTTTATGACCTTCCCCCTACACACACGGTGTGATCCAACTCAAGACCCTGTGTTTTTCAAACACACTCTGTGGTTTTCTCACTGATGTGTTTTTACATCCGATGTTCTTTCTAACTGGACCTATCCTTGTCAGTAGCCTATTTTTTTTTAATTTTTAATTTTTTATTACCATATAATGTATTATTAGCCCCAGGGGTACAGGTCTGTGAATCGCCAGGTTTACACCCATCACAGCCCTCTCCATAGCACATACCCTCCCCAGTGTCCATAACCCAACCACCCTCTCCCTACCCCCCTCCCCCATCACTAGCCTTTTTATAGATCTTTTGTTTTGTGTTATTAATACTCTCTTAAAATAATACATTAAAAGGCCTTTTGGGGAAAAGCTCCCAGTAGCAACATACATATTTGCAACATAATAGGCAACATGCTTTTCAGAATCAACATGGAAAGGACAACTGGTCTCCTTTCATTTAAAAAAAAAAGTGACGCAGGAGACCACAGGTAATTTACCAAAACAACAGCAATGGCAGCAGCAGCAGCAACAACAAAAAACCAAATAGAAGGCATAAATTGCCAACTAGGTTTATAAAGTTGGCAATATAAATGGATCAGACCTTTCTCAGGACTATCACAAATGGCTGACTGAGTTATTCTCGGTTTAAGATCTCTAGGTATAATAGGAACCATATCTTGCCTGCTATTGACTCACCAAATTGTGTTCTATAAAGGACACTTTCAAAAAAATTCACAGGGAGGTGTCATGTGCTTGTCAAGCTGTCTCCCGAGGGGGCTGTGCCTGTTTATATGGGACACCCTTTCCTCATCCATGCAAATGTGCCGTGTGGATTAGCAAGACTTTGACCTCTCTAGATCAGAAGCCCTAGATATATGTATAATCTTGCTAGGAACTTTTATCCTAAAGAAGTAAATAAGGACATGTATCCCTATTTTCCTTAAAATCATTTGTAATAACAAAGTATAGCAAAATTTTTGGTAGCTGTCCAAAGGTAGAGACTAGGGTCAAGTGAATTATGCTAGAGTTCTGAAATGGAATAATATCCTGCCATGGAAAAGAGAAAATTTAGTGACATTGAAAAATACTCAAGCTGCTTTTATATTACAAACGCGTGCTTAAAATAACATATAATCTAATTTCAAATATATAAACATACATAAACACACAGAAAAAACCTGGAATATCAGATATATGTAAACATGTTTGATTATGTCTGGGTGTTAGGAATGGAAGAGATTTTTTCTTTCTTCTGTCTTTCAATTAGACTTAATGAGCCTGAGTCACTTCGTAAAAGGGGAAAAAAGATAAAACAAAAAGTAGCACAATTTTACATGGCTCTTCTTCCATGAAGTCTTTGTTTACTTCCTCATCTCATGCTCGTTTGAAGCCTGGGAGCACTTGTGTTGAGCCTCTGTCATGACACGTCTTATTCCGTCTTGCATGTGGATATCAGTGAGCAATTACCTGTTAGCTTTGCCTTGCTCCTTGAGGTCCAGAACTTATCACTGTCTGTTTTTTGGCATCTGTAATTTAGGTGTCTGACAAAGACTTACTAGGTTGAATCTACTGTAAATATCTACAAGAGTGCAATGAGTAGCCTCTGTAGATAACTAGGAGCAAAGAGGTGAGAGCTTTTTTTCTAGTAGAGTGGGGAAGGCATGTTGAAACTTCGAGTGATATGCAGATACCCGAAGTTCTGACAGCAGGTACCAGTATGACAGGAGAATTATCCCGAAGAATCTCAAGAGGTCACATTTCTAGTCTAGGGTTAGCGTAAGCAGATGTATCTTGTAGTGCCTGCCTCAACCGAGTCCCATGAATTGTGTCAGAGGGCTGAAATTTACCAACAAAATGTGACTCTCGAAGAGAGCTGAACGCAGTCAAATCAACTTCACCAAGGAAAATCTCACAGTACAAATCCTTTCAAACCAGGGATGGCCCAGTTGGGGAAAAATCAGAAGTCACCGTTTATGTGGTGGTGCTCTCCCGGTTTTCACGGTGCAAAAATTCATTCCACTCAGCAAGAGTATAGAATTATGTGATTTATTAAGCTCTCCCCTCCCCGTAGGAGCATAAGTGATGATTTTTGTGGTTAGTGGTGATGAGCAATTAGCTGAAGAAAGGTGATTCCTGCTCCAAGCCTCCTTCCATGCAAGCTGGATTTGGGTCTAAGTCTGTGAAGTTTACAGAAATCCATCCAGAGCTTTGTCTTTTGAACTCTAATTGGGCAGCTCTCTCAAGAGCTGTAACCAGGCTCATTTGCTTAGCAGCACTTTCTCACTTTCTAGCTTAGAAAAGATAGGGAAAGGAAAGAAAAAAGAAAAGAAAGAAAATCAAAGCCAGGGCATGAATCTGATAAAGTTTTGGAAAACAGTAGGAGGTAATATAGATGAGTTCTTACAGTGTAGGTTGCTGTGGAATTCTGTGGCGATCATGTTAGCTGATGGTCCATCTTGGCCCTCAGACTATAGTAAAGCTTCCATTATTTTGAAAGAAGTAAAATAATTGTAGGGAGCTAGGGGGCAAGTACACTGATTGTGTAAAAGGTTTCACTGAAATGAGGGGAATCACCTTTCCTTAGCATTTGCAGTGAAGCTAAAGATCTTCAAGGAAGGGGGACGGGTCGTGAGCATTCCTGAAACCACAAGAAAGTAGGACAGTGAGGTAGACGGCTCTTGCTCAAGGTACACACTTTCCAGAATGGCCTCATGTGGGCTCTACACAAGGGTGCTGAAGAGAGTTTGATATGCCAGATGTCGCGTGCCATCCCAAGAATAAGACACACTTCCTGCCTTCACGGTGTTTATAGTCTAGTGGAGGAAACACATAAGCTAACGTGGCAATTTTGAAACGAGCGTTGGTGAGTGCTGTGATAACGGTATGCACGAGGGGCTCTTGGAAACACCCACATGCTGGGGGGCTAGGGGCGATCTTTGAGATCTGTCCCAAGACCTGATCTTCAAATGCTATGAACAAAGGAGGCACGAAGAGTTCATGTAGAAGAGTTAGAAAGGGGCGGTTTCATAGACAAAAGTCCAGATGCAAGAGGTTGTGGCCTGTTCTGTTACTTTATGAACGTTTAGGGGAGGAAAGTGGAGATAGGGGAAGATGGACAAAGGCTGAGGTTGTAGACAGAGGCCAGATCACAAAGTGCCTTATAAAGCAGTTTCAGAGTTTGGAATGAGTCCTAATGGCAGGAAAGATGGAATGTGATGGAAAGCTGGCAAAGTAGCCTGTGTGGAGAGAGGAAGAACTGAAGACTGCCTGAAATTCACAAGAGGCAGAGCTTACGGTAAACAACTAGGGGAGAAAGCAGGCTGGACTGGAAAAGGTATTTGAGGCCCAGTTTATCTTTCAGTGTGCCTGAAGCTTGTGTCCCTCAAGTGATTTCCCAGCTTAGATCCTCTAGTAGGCATGATCGGGGAGCTTGCCCAAAACTATGGCCAACCATGCCTTCAGCAAGTGTCTACTTAGAGAAGCCAAACAGCATTTGGAAAATCTTTACAAACATGGGAAGAATGTGCTAGCACAAACCCTCCTCGGGAGCTCTCAGCTGCAGGGGCAGGTAGGTTACAGCGGAAGCGAGGGTGATTCTTCTGTTACGATGCTGTCTTGCCCAGAACCTTCCGAGTCACACCCGTTGGCACACCCCAAAGATGAGTTGGCTAATTGCTACCATGTGAGACTCAACAGGGACTTGAAATTTAAGTACTTTCATGTGTTCCCCCTGTGACTTTTTCCATGGGAGGAGGGTGTCCAAGATCGGGACATACCTGACAGTTTTCTCTTTGATTCATGAGGCAAAATAGAACGAAAGCCCTGCCAGAGCCAGAGCCAACCTCAGTGGCAGGAAGACCAAAGTGCTATTGTAGAAGACACAAAAGCATTTCAGAATAGCCAGTCCAAATTTAGGAATAGCAGAGGAGCGCTTCTCTGATTCACATTTGCACATCCAATGAAAGATGCTTTGGAATTTCAATTGAAAGTGACAATAGGGAAATATAATTACTTTTGTTAACAATGTCTTTTAGGAAGCAGGAACCGAAAAGAGTATTTTCCCTCTGCCTGAACCACAAGATTTCTTTCTGGCTTCCCAAGTCAAGTTTGAAGACCTCATAAAAGATTTGAGAAAACTGAAGAGACAACTAGAAGGTAACAGGAACTGTTCTGTTATTATGATAATAGCTAAGTTTTGTTTTTTGGGGTTTTTTTTGAATGATTGAAGAGGATTATTTATGTCTGGTTCATGGAATGGAATTGGCACAGAGCTCAGTTATGGTACACCGCAGCCCTGATGAAACTTTCCATCTCTTCTGCTCTATGTGGAGACACTGTATTTGCATATCCTTTTCTTTTATTAGTGTTAATCTGTGCTTTTTATAGCTCCGTCTTTTATGTCTACATTTTCCAACATATAACAGATGTCATCTTAATAATCATAGCAGCAGGCCTTCGTTGACTGCTTACTATTGTATCATATAGTGACGCCAACCACCCCAATAAGCAGGAACTATACCAACTCCATTTTGCCGATGAGAAAAATGAGGTTTAGAGAAGTTAGGTTCTCACAGCCAGTGAGAGGCCTCTTTACCAGGCTCCTACCAGGCCTATCTGGATGAGAACTCATGCCCTTTCTAAGCTAGTTGACTGTGCTGCCTTATACGTATCCCCCATGTGCACACACATACTCACACACGCACACACCCCCCCATGCACTTGGTTTATGTATAGGAATCTAACGAAGATGGCAGGACCCACCATAAGCATTCAATTTTAGTTGAATTTCCATTTTTAATTATTCACAACAAAAATGCCGACAGCTCTTTTGGCTTTTTTTAAAAGGTAAAACTATGTCTCTCTCGAGCAGGAATTTTCCTTTGGCATTGCTCGCGTCTTGTGTTTTCACTGTGGAGACATCTTCTTATCCAAGTATATAAATACTTGCGTTGGACCTTGTGTAACTCCAACTGCCGAGCTCCATGGAGGATTTAGGGAGCGTGTTAATGTGGAAATGGAGCACAGAGTGCCAAAAGGAGAGCTTGAGGAAATGAAGAGCTTGAACCAGGAATCTTTTTACACTAAGACATAAAATAAACATTTAAAAAATGTTTATTGTGAAAGAGTGCTCAGAAACCCAAGTCTTAGAAGCAGAACAGCCTAGAAAGGGAAGCAAAGTGGGACAGATCTCCTGGTGGCAGGGAGAGCCATTTAGTTTTACTCTGGGCATAAAACTTGCTTAAATAAGGAGAGCGGTTACAAGTGAATATTTCTACCTTGTAAATTATTTTTAAAGGAACATGTGGATTTTTTTTTTTTCTCTCCCGTTGATGTGGTAAAGAGCATGCATTCAACCATGTGGACACTGCATTTAGAATGTGATTTCTGAACCTGTCTGTGGTTATTCTTTTCCCTCTCCTAAAACACCGACGGTTTTAACCTTGTCTAAGACCAGGGGCTTGATTCTTGTTGTAATAAAACCGTGTGAGCCATCCTGTGGCAGTTTTTCCTGTCACTCTCCAATGGCAGAATTAGCGCCCCCGCTGGTCTTCAGTCTGGCTGCAAGGTTCGCCCTGGCCAAGAAGAGCCAGGCTTGTTTACACCGTGGCTGTCGCTGAGTACAAATCCCCTCTGATCTCCTGGACCTTTGCCCTCCTGAGGCGTTTTCTGAGCAGAAACCTGATGTACATGTGATCTTTCCTCTTCTCCCACCGTCCTTCCAGGGGCTGCCTCTCTCAGGCATCCCGAATGGGCCACCTCCCTTTGACGTCTGGAAGTGTTTGATGATTCATAACCAAGATAAGAATGAATTGGGAGGCCAGTGGAGAGGCAGGTGTTCCCGCAAAGGTTCCCCCCTTTGGTGCACCTTGTCTTCTGCAAGGGATCTCAGGTGCCATTCCACATCTCTCAATACTCCACTGACCCTTGTCCCGTTGTTAGGAATTGCAAGAACTTCTGAAGTTGGAGGACCTATCTTAAAATGAGGGAAAACCAAACGTTGCCTCAGTTGTTTTTCTTTTTTGGCTTGGACTATACCAAAAGATGTGAGGCATCACGAGGCAAGAGGGAGAAGTGGGACTCCGCATGCACACGCCCCCCCCACATTGGATGTTTAAACAAAAATACCCTGCTAATCTTTAGAGATGCCAGTGTTTTTAACACATGAAAGGTACCTAGTAAATATTTAAAGAAAATACAGACCGTTGGTTCTCTAATGAATTTCTTTTTCTTCTAAATGCCATCTGGCAAGATGGCCAGAGTCGTGGCGGTCCGTTTCATCTCGCTTCCCATTCAGGTTCCACGTCCTTTTCCATAAGGCCTTGGTGTGAGCCTAGATTGAATGTTTAATTGAAGAGGACATAATTTTCACACATACAGCAAAGATTTGATGAGGCTTTGAGGTTTATTGTAGCCATTAAAATGTCGTGGCTGCTGGCAAAACCCCAGAAAATGTCTAAAGCTAAACCAGATGTGATTAGCAAATTTCAAGACGTCTCAGGCCCCCTTTCTCCAGGCAGGCACAGCTCTTGAGAAGAAAACTGGTCAGAACCACACCTTAGCAACAGAGTGTGAATTAAATCAGAGTTTGTTGGTTGTGTAAATGTCACTGATACACGTGGATGTGGCCGGCGAGCATCTTTCATAGAAACAAGAACTTTGCAGGGCACTTTTACGTAGGTAAACAGAGCAGGTCATTGATGATAATAGTATCAGCTATAGTTCATCCAATGCAACTATTATCTATCAGATGTTTTACATCATCATCTCTTTTAATCTTTGCAATGACCCTCTGAAGCAGATATCAGTCTCTAACAAGAGAAGGATACTGAAGTTCTAGTGCTCACATAATTTGCAAAGTTCCAGGTGGTGACCTAGCCACATTTTGATGCTAAGTAGGACTCTAAGGTATGCACTTGGGATGCATCCTGCCTGTGACCCAGAGCTCCCCATACCTCCATACCTCCAAAACAGAAAGTTAGGTGTTCAAGGCAGAAAGGCAAGGCATAAATCCTCATGAAGGTACCAAGGACAGAAAGAGAGTTCCCGAGTGCACACATATGCACACATGTGTGCTCACACACGTGCGTGCGTGCCCACACACACACACACACACACCCTTAGAGCCACACATGTAGACCCTCAGCTCAAAGGGAGATAAGAGAAGAATTTACTTCAGGCTGGGGATGGGGAAGGGAAGACATAAGGGAGAGATGGGTCATAAACGTGAAGAGTCACATAGACACACGAAAGTGAGCAAAGTTGTTGTGTCGGGTTAAGATGGTATCAGATGGTGGGTTTTGGTATCAGATGATGTACTCTTTACCGGTTTGGTGGAAGTGAGGTCTTGTCAGGTAATAAAACCATAAAGAGGGTTAAATGGAACAATTACAATGCCTGTGTCATAGGAGGTAATGAGTGCACGGTCTGTTAGTAAAGAAAACTTGAGCAAAGCTGATTAGGGGTATGTACTTTTTCCTGGAAAATGCACACCTTGTCGAATTCAGCCCCAGGTCACTGAGAGGCTGCTGGATGAGTTTGTGGAGAATCTGATTCCCACTTGTGCTCTCTTCTCTATCTTGCGGAGACAGAACCATATTCGTGGTGCTTGGGAACATATTCCATATCTTGTTTACTGTTCTATATCCCTTAGTGAGATAATAATTTTCACTCCCCTGATACCATGATAAGTAATAATTAGGAAAAATACCAAATGACAGGAAGAGTTTTTCTGTTTCTTATTCATTGACCTTGTTTGCTGGCCAGAACCCTCAAGGTATTTTTACCAACCCATATGTGGTAGGCAGAATAATGGCTCCCAAAAATGTCCAGACCCTAATCCCTGAAATCTATTACCTTACACGGCAAAAGGGAACTTTGCCAATATAGAGAAGGGGAGATTATCTTGGACTATCCAAGCGGGTCTAATCTAATCACATGGATCTTTAAAATGAATCTTTAAAAACTGAGAATTTTCCTTGTCCGTGGCCAGCGGGAGATAGTACAGCAGAACAATCAGGGAGTGTGCAATGTTGTGGGCTTTGCAGAAGGAGGAAGCAGGCAGTGGACCAGGGAGTGTGGGGAACCTCTAAAACTGGAAAAGGCAAGGAGCAGATTTTCCCCTGGAGCCCCCAGCAGGGAATGCAACCCTGTCAACACACCTTGATCTCAGCCCAGCAGACCCACGTTAGACTTCTAACCCACAGAACTATAAGGTAATACCTTCGTGGTGTTCGAAGCCACTTAAGTTTGCGATGATTTGTTAGAGTGGCAATAAGAACAAATGTACTGTGCATTGTATCCTTCCTGGTGGTGTCAGTTACACCAGGGACACACACACACACACACACACACACACACACACACACACACAGACACCATTGCTGAGGTCATAAGATGTACAATTTCTCGAGTAGGGGCGCATCCCAGTACAGCATGAGATGTGAATTGGTGCTTTCTGACAAGGAGCCTATCGCCAAATAAACCTAGAGCTGCTCTCGACCAGAGTCATGTCCCACAGATGCACAGTGCACCTGAGCTTATTTAAAGGCTCTGGAAAGTTCTGAGGTGAAAACAAACAGACAGACAAAACCCAAAATGGTTCAACCCTGTTCAAAGCATGTCTCAACTTAAAACCTAAAACACTGGTTTTCCTTTGGTGTTCTTTCACTGACTACTTAGTAATGTGTTGCAGAACATGCAGTCTGCGAGATAAGTTTAAGAAGGGGTGTTGGAATTAATTTCATATTTTTAATATAAATAAAACCATTGTTGGTTCAATGATCGCTCTAGGCTAACAAGAGGAGGAGCTGCGGTGCACAATTTCGACCTATGCCCTTTGGTATTGCTCTTCATTATCCTGGCTACTCTGTCCCCCCAAATCTGTTCTCCATGGAAACAATTCAAATGGGCCAGACATCTGATGCTACCAGGCATCCAGTGTCTTGATGCCTAGAAGCCAAAATGAATAACCTTAGTGTCATCCACAGTTACCCTGGCATCCCCAACCCCAAATCCATATTGATTTGATATGATCCTCTGGTAATATTTTATTATAAAAACTTCATTGTGGCTATGGAAGTAGGAAAGCCGAACTAATTTTTGGTTGCTGGAAAATGAGACAGGAACTCTTCAGATAGCTGTTGGGAAGTCAGCAT